TCAATTCATGATCTCCTTCTTTATCCTCCCCTTTTCCCTCCCATCCTGATTCTCCTCCCTTGTTCTCCTTTCACTGTTCTCTATCCTCTTTTGAGAAGTACCTTCTCAACTCATTTACCCATTTATCAAATGGGTTATTTTCTTTCATTTTATTCTAATTTGATGTATATGACAGCAGAATGCATTTCATATACATATTCAATTCACAGTACACACACAGAGCACAATTTTTCATATCTCTGGTTTTACAAAATTAGAGTTACACCATTCATGTCTTCATACATGTACTTAGGGTAATGATGTCCATCTTGTTTCACAATCTTTCCTACCTGCCATGCCCCCTCCCTTCCCCTGCCACCCCTTTGCCCTATCTAGTGTTCATCTTTAGTCTCTAAAGTATATCTCCCTCACCATCTCCCTTTCTACTTCCTAATAAAAAAATGTTTCTCTCTGGGAGTTTTATGTGTCGCCCTCTGGTGGCTGTGCACCTGTTGCTGAGGGCAGTTTTGTATTGGGCAGTCACTGTGCCGGGTTAGCGGCTGCTAGGGATTGGGGGGAATTATAAACTATGGGTACCTGACTATCCAGTGTTCCAAAATGGTAGCTGCCCCAACTAAAGATGGTGATGGAGCTGACCCAAGATGGAGGCAGCTGCTTTCAGCAATGAGGTGTCAGTTCGGGTTGGGGGAGCCAGGCAATGGCATTGTGTGATGTGTTCAAAGGTGAGCTCTCTGGCGTGCAGTGTTATGACTGTTGGCTGTCTTCAGAGCCTGTGCGATGTCCCCAGGTGCAGGCAGGGTACTGTGCATGTAGGGGCCTATGGCAATAGCTGCCCAGTTCCAAGATGGAGGTGACCCGGGAGCCCCATGTTGATGGATGGGAATCCACATGGGAGTGGTAGATGGAGTTCCTGAAGATGGGTAGAGGCTGAATGTCCTGAATAGGAGTGACGTCTGGGAATTCTGCACCAGTTCTGATGCTGGTGGTCCCACTAATGTACCAGGGAGACGTGCAGTTTGAGTAGCCAGGAGTCAGGAGTCCTGCTCTCATGCTGAGTCCCAGAGCCCTGCACAAGCACGGGGCCTTGATTCCTGTGTGGGAACAGCTGTGGAGGGGGGCCTCTATCACTCTCAGAGAAACAATATTACCACTAGTTGAGACCCAGGTCATGGAGCAACACAGAATGCTGCCTCCCTCTGACCCACCATTCTGGATCCCTCTCAGTGGTTAACTTATTACATAACTGCATAAAATGTTACTTATGCTTACACTTTATTTCACTCCCATTTATTTTATGCCTTATATCTTCTTTTTAAATTAATGCATATTCTAAATCTACCTTGCTCTCTCTGGAATGAGCTCAGTGCACAAGAGTTAAAATTCTGAGTCAGTAGGTATCTAAAGTGGCAGCCTTTCCCCTTCTCTTTTTATGTGTTATCTTCTTACCTACTGCAACAGTGTCTGCCTCTGGTTGCTAATAGGAAATAAAAATCAGGAATAGAAAGATTTGGTGTCCTCAGAAGGGGCCTGTCCTTGGAGTGATCCACAAAAGGATAATCTGCCCCTTTGTCCACACATTTCTCTTCTTCGGCAAAATATTGCCCATGATTTACATCCTGGGTGGCTAAATTTTTCTCAGTCTCTTTCACTGTTAACTGACAAGCTTCTCATTCTCTGGAGTGTTCCCTATTGTGAGCAGTGACCTTTCTCCAAGGGTGTACCATTCAGACTCACAGGGTGCTATGTTTGGATGTGTTGCATTCCCTGAAATCCCCTGTGTATTAGACACTGCAGCAGGTTCTGAGGGGAATGACTCAGTTATGGAGCTGCAACCAAATATGGATCAATCCACCTGATGGATTTTAGTTTTAATGAGCCATGGGTGGTGCCCTAGATATGCGGGGATTACTGGGGGAAGCAGGTCATTGGGGGCATGTCCTTCAAGGTTGCATATTGTCCATGGATCCTGGTGTTCACTTGCTCTGCTGCATGCTCCTCCGACCACCACAAATTACTCTCTTTCCTGGTTCTAGCTGCCATGACCTGAGGTGCTCTCCAACATGCACCCTCCTTTCAGGACAGAAGAGCAATAGTGGTCTGAACTACATCTTTCAAGTTCTTTATTTTGTTACAATTCAATTTAAGAGGAAAGATTCTTAGCATGTCAGTGGTTTTCAGTACATTGCCCATAGGAGATTTATAATCTTTAATTACTTCTTTGGACATCTTAAAGAGAGAGGGCTCAAATTGCTCTTTCCCCCTTCTCCTTGTGCATCACCTTGGATGGCGGCCATGGATGGGTGGGAGATGGAGATCAACAGCATCAAGAAAGCAGCAGAGAAGGGTCTGCCAGCACATGTAGTGTGGACATTTAGGGGGAGTCATGGAGGACTCTCCTTGGGAAAGGGACCATGTGAGGTCATGAAGGAAGAGAATGAATTACTATTCTCACAAATGCCACTTACCACATGCTGGACACTGTGGACAGGCTCATATACCTGTATACTGGCCCTCTACTGCTTTGACTCTCACAAGAGCACTCAGCAATGGACACTCAGCACCTCATGGAAGTACACACCCTCCAGCAGAGGTCCTTCCTCAAATCACATTCGCACTCCAGTGTGCTGCTAAAGAGCCAATTCCACAGGGTCTGGTGTTCCAGATTCCAATGGTAGGATGATTGTGCAGCTGGGGTCAAGGCTAGGAACTGGTATTCCAGTGTGCATCCTTGGGGTTGGGACAGAAGTAGCACTGTAATGTGGAGAGGGTTATAAACTCTCTGAAAAAGCCACAGAGAGCTGCACAAAGCAGGTCATAAGACAGCCATCAGGCCAGAGAGCTGTGCAACATGGTACAGCCACTGGGGACAGCCAGGGAGTGAGTCCTGAGCAGTCAGAAGCCATGCCCCAGGGACTTTGCCCCTAACCTTTGAACCCCCCTTCCTCTCTCCACTGTGTTGTCAATGGGAGAGTTAGTCCTACTGATGAGCCATAAGGACCATGCCAACAGAGCATTGGAAATTGCACCTGGAGAGGCACAAGAAATTAGGGATTTATCAGCAAAACAGTTTTCTAGAGAAAGAAACTCTGGGCAGTGTCTCATTGTGAGTTCCTGCAGAACTCAGATACCAACATTGTGAAAGATTTCACAGATGTCTGTGGGTGTGTGTGTGTATGTCACTAGATCACAGTGGAGGGACAGCAACAAGGGAACTCATGGCCCAAAATAGCTTATTGCATTGATGTACCTGTTGCCTACGGGAGTGTTCACATCTGTTTCTGGGAATACTGAGGCATCAGGAAGTTTAAAACATCCATGATACAATAGGAGAGCTTTATTTTCTGGTAAAACTTGGATTTATTATCTAACATCCTTTCACTTCAACCTAATGGTCTCCCTTTAGCATTTCTTGCATGACATTTCTACAGGGAGTGAATTGCTCAGTTTTTTTTTCTGGAAATATCTTCATTTCTCATTCATGTTGGAAGGACTGTTTTTTCTCTTAGGTAGAGAATTCTTGGTACCATTTTTTTTCAACACTGTACATGCATCATCTTACTACCTCTGGTTCCCATCATTAAGAACTTGATAAACACCTTAGGGGGAACCCTGTATGTGGTGAACAGGCCTCTCTTTCTGCTTTAGTGTTGTCTCTTTTACTTTAGCTTTGGCAGATTGGTTTACAATGTGCCTCAGCGTGGATCTGCTCAAGTCGATGGAACGTGGAGATTGTTCAACCTCTTGGATTAGTACTTTCATATATTAGATGACATTTAAGAAAGTGAAGTGCATTTCACTTTAAAATAAGGTTTTGCCCCTTCTCTTTTCATTCTTCTCTTTTGGAATTCTCATATGTGTGTCAGTGTAATTTTCTGGTATCCTGAATGAATTTTTTTTTAATTCCTGTTTCCCATTCTGAACTGCAAAGTGAACATTGTCAATGGTTTCTCTTCCACATTTTGGGATTTTTCAACTGCTTGTTCAAGTCTTGTGAAATCTATAATGAAATTCAGAGTTAATTGAGCCTTACCAACTCCCAATTTTCTATTTGGTTCCTTTTTATATTTTCCCCTTGTTGATGTTCTCAGTTTGCTGATCATTTTACAGATTTCCTTTTCTACTTTGACTATATGTCCTGATGAGAAGGAGGCAGGAGAAATGAGCTAGGGAAGGACTTGAGATGGGGGAGGCAAGAGGATGGAGCAACAGGAGGACAGGAAACAAGGGGAAGCAGCTCAGGGACCCCCCTGCATGTGGAGAGCAGGGAACAGAGCCTAGTAATAAAACAGACCTCATGACCTTGGGTGGATGCTCAGTGAGAGAAAATTTGGACTTCTGATGTTCAGAACCGTAACAGAAAAACTGCTGTTGTTTTAGACACTAGTTTGCAGTCAGTTCTCACAGAAACACAAGAATACTTACATAATGTGATTATAGTGTGGGTAGTTATGGAAGGGGCTTGAATAATGTTTCATTTCTTAATTGAGCTGTACATTGTTATAAGCAAGATGATCACTTCAGGCTGGTAGATGAAATGCCATCATGAACTTGGGGGTTTCTGTGGAACAGGGAAGATGAGCCACAGACTCACAGTCAAATGCATGTCCCACTAACTTGACCCCACCACTTCCCCCACAATTCAGGAGTCTCAAGAGCCACATGACCCTCCCCTCCCCCAATGTCATGGTTCTTGAAATGCCAGTGACCTTGTGGTCAGAAAGGGAAGATCAACAAACAGTTGGTGACACATGAGAGCTCAGGGGAGGGCTCAGGCCCTCAAGTCCCCTCCCTCCACCTTGCTCAGGGCTCTGGGCCTCAGGGGCAGGTGTCTCACAGTGTGGAGGTGCAGGCCAGGGGAGGCTCAGTGTGAGGACACACGCCCTGTGCTGAGCTCAAGGCCACTCTGTGGGCACTCAGTCAGTGACAGGCTTTGCTGATACCACGTGATAAACCAAGAGGATCCCCAGGATGAGCAGTGACCACCCTGTGTCTCCCCCCAGGAGTGGCTGCACAGGAGCTGCAGGTGATCCAGCCTGAGAAGTCAGTGTCTGTCGCTGCTGGAGAGTCGGCCACTCTGCACTGCACTATGACCTCCTGGCTCCCTGTGGGGCCCATCCAGTGGTTTAAGGGGACAGGGACAGGCAGGGAGTTGATCTACAACTTCAGAGAAGGCCACTTCCCCCGAGTCACAAATGTCTCAGATGCAACAAAGAGGGACAACAGGGACTTTTCCATCCGCATCAGTAATGTCACCCCAGCAGACGCCGGCACCTACTACTGTGTGAAGTTCCAGAAATCGACCCCTGTTGATAAGGAGTATAAGTCTGGACCAGGCACCGAGTTGTCTGTGCGAGGTGAGTGCAGCTGCCTCCTCCTCCCTGGGGGGGGACAGGAGGTCAGGGGTCACGCCCTCCACCCTGGGGGCCACAGCTGAGAAGCAGGAGCAGCACTGGGTGCTCATGTCATGACCTGCTGTCACCCCTTCTGCAGGTCAGGGAGACAGAGGCCTGAGGGGGCCATGCTATTTGGTCCAGGCTCCATGGCTGATAAATGGGGGGCATCTGCACCCCCTCTCCTGCCTGCTCCACAGCCCTGACCTTTTCCAGTCTGGCCTGTCCTGTGGCTCCCCAGATGAGGGCTCTGAGGGTTTGAGGACTTGCCTCACCTCTGTTGGCCCCCAAATTTTGCCTTGGTGCCAGTGTGGGGGGGTGAGGTTCTTTGCCTCACCTCTGTTGGCCCCCATATTTGGCCTTGGTGCCAGTGGGGGGTGATGTTCTTTGCCTCACCTCTGTTGGCCCCCAAATTTTAGACCATCACAAGCAGAAGGGAGGAGGATGAAAAATGCCACAACACCAAGCCAAATGACGGTTCCTTTTGGAAAAATTGTACCACCGATGACACCATCAGCAAAGGTACCCCAGCCCTACCACAATTCGCTGCACCAATAGATAGTTAACAATGCATACAAGTGATACATAGTCCAGGCAAGTTCTGCAAGCAGTTAAAAGCAGAGGAATCTATTAATATGTCCATTTCCTCTCAAAGTAAATCGACTCCTTGATTGAGCATCACTTGTTGAGTTATTATTCATTGATGCATCAGTTTATACAGTTTACTGTGATAGCTATTAAAGAAACTATAGTTTGGTTTTATCTTTGTCTTCACCAGCACTGGGATGAAGATAGGAATTCTGGCAATGATGGCCCAAAAAAAAATTATGTAACATTCCAGCAGGCACTAAAAGAAAGCAATCTTCTAAACAACTTACATTATACTGAACAGAATTATTAAATATACTGAAAAGGAAAGGTGAAAGTAAACAAACAGATCTGTTAACCTCCTTTTTTGTTCACATATTAAAACAATCCTCAACAGCTGTTTACCAATTTAAATTAAACCATTTAAATCACGTGAATAAAAATATATATTTGGATTCATTTTTTCATGAGCGCTCCTCATATATGATATATGGACATACGCACATACAGACATACAACAAAAAACACAAGTGTGCACACATAATATAATACATACAACACATAACATAATAATAAAGGCCTTGTAGCTTTTCACAGGTGAAATCTCCATTGCAATGTTTAAGAACTCCACAGTCAAAAAATAGAACTGATCAGAAAAACATTAACCTAGGTCTCTATGAGCTCAAAAAATAAAATAGAACTTCATGATGAGGGAAAAGGCAATAATAAAATAAATATTGAAAAAAGCATCCTGGTTACCACCTGGGTTTGACTCTTCTTTTGATATCTCATCCTTTTTCCTGTAACTTGCATAATGGGTCTGAAGGTATTCCCACAAGCAAGACCAAGGTTTTTTACATTTGAAATAGGCTTTAATGCTTTTCATTATTCATTAGCCTCCAGGTGTGGAAGAACCACTGCTGCAGATGTAAGGATATCAGCTGTTATGGATTTGAGCCAAGTCATCTTCTTTTTTTTCTGTAGAAATCGCTTTAGTTAGTCTCTCTGGAATCCAAATCGGCTGCTGTTCTACCTATGGAAACACACAAACAGACCCCCAACTCCAGACAATCACTGGGTCAGGATCTTTCCATTGTCCTGTTAGAATATCCTTCCAAAGTACCTTTGGTTTATGTACATTTTTTGGACACATGTGCCTTTCCACAGCACTAAGCCCTGATGAATCCAAATTTTAAAAGTTTAGAGTAAAAAGGATTATTTTAAGTTTATCTTTGGGGGATATATACCCCTTCCCAATTCCCTCTTTTTGCTTTAATAAGTACATTTTAATAGTTTGATGAACTCTTTCAACTATGCCTTGTCCCTGTGGATTGTATGGGATTCCTGTTATATGAGAATGCCAAATGATGAGCAAAATTGTTTAAAAGAGGTAGAAGTATAGCCAGGACCATTATCTGTTTTTAACTGTTTTGGAACACCCACAGTAGCAAAATTTTGTAAGCAATGACCTATAATATCTATAGTTTTTCCTCTGGCATGAAGGGAGCTCATCAAAAATCTGGAAGAAGTATCAACTGTAACATGCAAATATTTTAATTTTCCAAATTCTGGCAAGTGTGTGATGTCCATCTGCCAAATATGGTTAGGTATCAGTCCTCTAGGATTTATTCCAAGATTAACATGTGGTAAAAAGGTTACACAATTTTGACATTGTTTTATTATTTGTCTAGCTTGTTCCTTAGTTATTTTAAAATGCTTTTGTAAAGTATTAGCATTGACATGGAACCTTTTATGAAAATTTGTAGCTTCTTCTAGTGTAGATAAAATATGTATGTCTTTTGTAGTTTTATCTGCTAAATCATTGCCCAAACTAAGAGCTCCAGGCAATCCTGTATGTGCCCTGATATGTCCTATAAAGAATGGATCTTTTCTGTCCCAGATTAGATTTGTATAGTGGAAAACAAAGAGAAAATAGTAGAGGAAGGGAAAATCCTACCAGCATCTTCAAGGGATACTATAGCACTAACTATATACTGACTATCAGAAAACAAATTAAATACAGAATCTTTAAACATCACAAAAGCTTCTAATACTGCATTAAGCTCTACCTTTTGAGCTGATTGTTTGGGTACTAAAAAATGTAAAAGTTTGATCAGGCGTAACTACTGCTGCTGTACCATTATTTGWCCCATCAGTGAATATATTTGGAGCATTCATGATAGGTGTTTTTCTTGTCATTTTTGAAAAACTACAGGATACGAAGACCAAAAAGACAGCAAAGGATTAGATGGTAAGTGATTATCAAATGAAACATTAGATTTGCACATAATTATTGCCCAAGTATTTAACTCATTAGCTAACTCATCAATTTGATCCATAGTATATGGAGTAATAATTTTATTGGGAGAAATTCCAAACACCCCCTTTGCTGCTTTTATTCCTTTGAGTATTAATTGTCCTACAGCCTCAGAATACCTAGTCAGAATAGTGTTAGGAGAATAAGATAAATGTATCCATAATAATGGACCTTCTTACCAAAATACTCCTGTAGGAATACTTTTTGTTGGTAGTACAATAAATAATAAAGGCAAACTTATACCAATTCTATCCAAATGCATATTTTCCATATATGTTTCAATGATTTTGAATGTCTTTCTTGCTTCAGGCGCTAACATGCGGGGTGAAATTGGATCTGATGGACCTTTTAGGACATCAAATAAAGGTCCCAACTCTCCTGTTGGAATACCTAGATAAGGCCTTATCCAATTTATGTCTCCTAATAACTTTTGAAAGTCGTTAAGTGATCTGAGTTGATCTTCTCGTATTTGAATTTTTGGTGGACGGACCATGGTTGAGGATAATAGAACTCCTAAATAATTAATTGGAAAATTTAATTGTACTTTATCTATTGCTATCTCTAGATTATAATTTTTTAATAAGTTTGTAAGTGTGGCATAATATTCTAGCAATGTGTTTTTATCTTTGTGTGCTAACAACACATCATCCATATAGTGAAATATTTGTAGTTCAGGATTTTGATTTTTAAGTGGCTGGATTGCTTTGTTAACATAAATTTGACACATAGTTCGGCTGTTAGCCATCCCTTGAGGGAATACTTTCCATTCAAATCTCTGATTGGGACCTTTATGATTCAGTGCAGGGACAGTAAATGCAAAACGTGGACTATCCTCAGGATGAATTGGAATTGACAAAAAAACAATCTTTAGTATCTATAGCTAAAACATACCAGGTTTTTGGCAAAGCAGACAATTGGGGAATCCCCAATTCAGCAGGTCCCGTAATAACCATCTCATTATTAATGGCTCTTAAATCTTGCAATAATCTCCATTTACCAGATTTCTTTTTGATGACAAAAAAAAATGGGAGTATTATGGGGAGATATGGAAGGTTGTATATGTCCCTCCGCTAATTGTTGTTTGACCAGATCATAGGCTGCTTGTATCTTTTCTTTAGTCAGGGGCCACTGAGGAACCCACACTGGTCTTTCTGATTTCCAAGTAATTTTTATTGTCTCAGTGACCCCTCCTGAAAACACAATACATGTCTATCTATTTTTTTATCTTCTTGTATTGGCACCACTATACTTTGTCCTTTTTCTCCTAATATTTTTTCCTTTCCTAAAATCTTGTCTAGCCGTAATAGTGGGCGCATTTGGATTGATGTTATTTGTTAATGTCAAACCTAATTGATCTAGTACATCTTGTCCCCATAAATTTATAGGAAGATGATCCAATACATATGGCTATATAATTCCTTCACATCCTTCAGGATCCTTCCAATCTAATACCATTGCACTTCTATGGGGATTAGTCGCCACTCCTAGGCCTTGAAGAGTTTGAGTGGCTTGTTGTAATGGCCAATGTTTTGGCCATTCTTGATGAGAGATGATGCTAAGGTCTGCGCCTGTATCCAGTAGCCCATTAAATTCATGTCCTTGAATATTTAGTTTTAGCATCGGGCGAGAATCTAAATTTAAAGAAAGCATAGCCCAATCTACACCTGTGGAGCCTAATCCCCTGGAACCTCTTTCTACAGTACGACTAGAAAATTTATCATGTAGGCTGGGTATTATTAATAACTGTGTTATTCTATCTCCTGGTGAAATTGCTGATATACCCTTTGGAGAACTGGCTATAATTTTTATTTCACCTTCATAATCGGGATCAATTACCCCAGGACTTATCATAAGTCCTTTTAGAGTAGAAGAACTGCATCCCAATAATAAGCCTATTGTTCCTTAGGGGAGAGGTCCTTTTACCCCTGTGGGAATGATTTCAACTCCCGTCTCTGGAGTTAGTACTGCTCTGGCGGAGGCGCAGATGTCCAACCCTGGGCTCCCTCTGGTTTTTCTGATGAGAGATCTGATGGATAATGTGTCCTAGGCACTATCCTGATGGTGTTGCTGGGTTCCTCCAGTGCTCTGTATATTTGTGGTCGTGGGCCCCGGAGCATTGGGCCCTCCTGTCCGTTTTTTGGCAATGGAGCCCGATGCCTTTCTCCATGATATCATGGGTAAACCCCTGGTCCTTGTCTGTTTTTTGATAACGGAGTACCCTCTATGGTGGTTTGAGAACGGCATTCATTAGCACAATGTCTCCCTCCATGGCATCATGGGCAAATACCCAGTATTCTACCCCTTTGATTCCTAGTTTTGTTAAACCCTCCTCCTATGGGGAAATTCCTTTTAAAATGTCCCTTTTGCTCACAATTGTAGCATCTAAAGCCTGTTGTACTGCGGCCGCCAAGATTTGCCCTTGTTCATTAATGTCTCTACATAATTTAATATGTGTGTTTAAATCTTCATGTTTCCATGGTCTAATGACCTCTCTGCACCAACAATTTGCTTGCTCATATCCAGTTGTTTTATTAATGGCATTGCTTGTTCTGTATCCCCAAAAAACTCTGGTAACTGTTTGAATAAGCCTATCTACAAAGGTTCATTAGGTCCCTGTATTACCTTAGATAACTGACCTTGCAAATCTCCATGTCCTTGTAAAGTCTTCCATGCCCTAACTGCATCTGCAGCAATTTGTGAGTATATAGCAGATCATATCTAATTTGTTGCTGCTGATCCTCATAAGGTCCCTTTCCTAACAACATATCTAAATTTCTCTGAGGATAACCAGCTGCTGCATTTTGCCTAGCTGTCTCCATACAAAGTTCCTCATTAGCAACCTTCCATAGCAGGTATTGTCCTCCATTTAGCACAGCTTTACACATACTAGTCCAATGTGCTGGCGTCATGTCCAGGTTGGTAATGGATTCAACCATGCTTACAGTGAAGGGTGCTTGGGGACCATAGGTTGTTACAGCCTCCTTTAACTGCTTCACTGTTTTGAAATCTAAAGCACAGTGAATTCGCTGCCCTCCTGCCTGCTCAAGTACAGGGCATGCTAATCTTTGAGGTCTTGTCTCAGGATCCCATCTATCAACTATGGGGGTTGGGGGCCCCCCAGCATATGTTGACTCTATAGGTGGAGCTGTTGGTTGGACACTTACACCCTCTGGTGATATAAAGGTGTTAGTAGCAGCCTCCTGTTGTAACTTTTTCCCTCCTGATGGCCCTTCTTCCTTTAAATTTTCTTCCTCTGTCTGACTAGCTCAAGAGACCTTCTCTTTTGCTTGATCTAACATGTTTTCTACCATATTCTGGACCTCTAACAATTTACTTAACCCTCTTTCAGTTTGTTTTTTACTAATTTCTAATCTACTATAAAGATAGCGCAACCCAACAAGATAACACAAAACAAAACCAAAACAGAATGAAACAAAAACGGAACAAAAATTCGTTGTATCAATTTTCCTATTTTATTGAAATGTATTTTCGTGGTCTATCTCTATCTCTTCCTCAGGGCCAAACAACTTCAAACCTTGAGCCAACCATTTTCCCAGTTTGCCTGAGAAAGTTCTAGGGACAGGCAGCTTGAAACAAAAACAAAACAAATCAAAACAAGAACACATTGTTTTTTGAAATGGTCACCCATTATCTCGCCTTCCCTCAGGGGCGAGCAATTTCACTTACCCCCAAGCTTCAGGCATTCCCCACATAGGCCACCAAATGCCACAGTCTGGCTGGGCACAAATCATGAGCCACTCAAGCAGGAACAAATTTTATTTCTGAACTCACGCGAACTCCACCTATGCAGCCCTTCCAGGCACACCACACACCAACCGGAACTCCTTCCACCGGAACTCCACCCACCAACGCGAACTCCCCAGGAATCCCCACAAGAACTCCAAAGTAGTGGGCGCCCAAGGTGGACAGTAGGGGTCTATATACAATTGAATACACAGCTTAACATAACCATCAATCTCAATGGCTCGCTGGCATCACCTCTCAACCACTCCCTTCTGGCAAGATGCCATGCGTCATCCCGACTCTGTGGCCCTCAACAGGTTGTCAAAGATTCCAGGTCAGGCCTGTAGGAAACAGTTGTTACAGAGACAAGTCAGTAAGTTCTTCGGAGCCCAGGTTGGTAGCAGTGTCCTAATACTGTGAAGAAGGCTGTGACTTCAGTTCTGGAGTAGCACCTGGGTGGATACTCCTCACTGACTGGACAGCTGTGCTCTCCTAGAGGCATGACACTAGGGACACCACACGGGTAAGCTCAGAACCCAGGCAGCTTCATGAGGAGGGTTAAGAAATGAAGTCTTGTTGTGCTTATGGGTGACAGAGCAGATGGTTAGCAACACCTGAGGATGTTCCCCAGCACTGCAAATAATAATAATATAACAACAGTAACAGCCACCACACCAAAAATTTCTAGGAAGGTTCTTCAAAGTGTCACATGCTTGTGCTCAGATGGGGTCTCCTGATCACCTAACTGGTTTGTCAATGCTTCTTTGCATCCAGACCCTCTCCCCGCATGGTGTTAGGTCCTGCAACCAAGGCCACACCTGGGCAAATGGTGAGCATCACCTGGGAGTCCCACAGCTCCTCCCCCAACAACATCACTCTCAAGTGGTTCAAAAATGGGAATGAGCTCTCGCACACCCAGACCAGCATAGATCCCACAGAAGAAAGTGTGTCCTACAGTATGTCCAGCATAGTCCAGATGACATTTACTCCCAGGGATGTCCATTCTCAAGTCATATGCAAGGTGGCCCATGTCATCCTGCAGAGGGGCCCTCCTCTTTGTGGGACTGCCAACATGTCTGACACCATTTGAGGAACAGGACCTTGCTCACTGCCCCAGCCAACAATGCTGCTCCACAGGGGCCTTTGCTCCAGGACCTCAGTGACCTGGGCTCTAATTCCCAGCAGTGCTGCCACCTGTGGTGCTAGTGTGGACTCCTGCCCTATGTCCAGCATGAGCTGGTGGCTTCATTTCATTGACCAGAAGCAACTAGAACTGCTGAGCTCCTAACAGTGAAGCTTCAAGGTGCAGGGTCATTTCATCTGTTGTGCTCACTTCCTGCAGGCCAGAAGTTGGGCCTGTCAACTTCACTCACTTTACCCTCAGGGGAGCTGCTAGTCATTTGGCACCTGTGGGTGGCAGGCCCTCTGGTTAGTGATTTACTCCTGTGCAAACCCTCAGTGTCTGAGCCCCTGCTTCACACCTGACACTGTCCCGAGGGAGGTCTTTGCCATGCTGGGAGGAGCTCAGCTGTTTGTGCCATAAGGTCACAGCTTCTCCCTGTGCTGTTTCAGTTCTTCCCACCATGGAGGTCACTCCACAGCCCACCATGACAGGGAACCAGGTGAAGTCACTTCTGCTCCCAGAGCCTACAGCTGACCTGGGTGGAGAATGGTGACATGTCCAGGAGAGAAACAGTCTTGACCCTCTGAGAGAACAAGGACAGGACCATCAACCTGATGAGCTGGCTGCTGGTCAATGCCTCTGTGCACAGGGAGGACATGATCTTCACCTGTCAGGTGGAGCATGACAAGAAACCAACCACCACCAGAAACTGCACCCTGCAGGTCTCTGCTGGCCCCAGAGAGCAGGGCCTGGACAATATCCCTGCTGAGGCCTCTCCCAGATGATCTAATGCTTTTATACTTTACCTTGATGTTGTCTGTGTTGTGAGAGCAGTGACCCCTCCTTCCCCCAGGGCACACAGAGCCTGGGAACACAGCAGCGTCTTAGTCAGCTCCCCACACCACACTCTAAGGGTCTCCTCTGTAGGGTTGGGCACACATCTCATGGGGCCTTCAAACAGGGACACTAAGGAAGAAAGCAGGATGGGAGATGGACCATTGTGGCACTCAGCACTTGCTTTCTTCATCTGATACTTGTCATGTCTTCTTGGCCCTCTCCATCCTCCTCTCTTTCCACCCATCTTGGAGGTCACTCAAAAATTCACAGTGACATACAACCAAGTGACTATCACTTGCCAGGCAAAGAAGTTCTACCTCCTGAGCTTGCATGTGACCTGAGTGTGAATGGAAATGTGTCCAGGACAGAAACCTCAGTCATCACAGATAACAAGGATTGGAACTGTAACCACTGAGCTGGCTCCTGGTGAATGCATGTGCCCAGAGTGGGGACATTAAATATTTAAAAAGCCTAGGGATGTGGTTCACTGGTTAAGTACCTCTAGTATGAAAAAGAAAAAGATGTCTCCCTGGTGGGGTCTCCACTCCAGCTGGCAAGATCTTTTTGGGGGGTGAGAGGTACCAGGGATTGAACTCAGGGGCATTCAGACACTGAACCACATTCCGTCCCTGTTTTGTATTTTACTTAGAGACAGGATCTTGCTGACTTTCCCAGGGCCTTGCTTTTGCTGAGGCTGGCTTAGACTTGTGATCCTTCTGCCTCAGCCTCCCAAGCCACTGATTATGGGCATGAGCCATCTCACCCAACTTACTGGGTCTTTTATATCCTGTATCTTTTTAAAATACTGCCAAAGTTTAAAATACTGCCAATTCCTATTCATTATAGAATAATTCTCAAGTCTATAAATATATATTAGAACCTTACATTTACCTGCAATCCCCCCTCCTCATTCCAAGAGTCTCCACTATCAAGAGCTTGGTCCAAATCTCCATGGATCTTCTGAAATACACAGATATTTTAAAAGAAATGGAGGGAGGGAACAATCCTGTCCTAATGTCCTGCTTCTCATCTCTGCACCTAACAATTGCTCTGTTCTCCTTCCTCAGGGCCTCCCCTTCCTCCTTACCATGTTGACCTCTGCCCAGCTTCCATTCCAGATGAGAATTCTCCATACACATCTTTATCCTCACCCAGCAGACTGGCACCTGCTAGGGAAAATCTGAAGAAGACTCCCTGAGGATGTGGAGACTGTTTGGACCAGGCCCCTATGTGACCTTAAGTGGACTCCACAGATCTTTTCCTTCTGATTTGTGATAGCAGACCAATAGTAATGAGGACCCTTAAAGCATGCTCACAACATGGAAATTTCATATCCTTCATTTTTGCTTCAACTACCTGTGTGTTAGGAGTTTACAGAAGGGAAACCAGAATGGCCCTGGAGAGTAATGGAATCACTGTTGATGACTTCCTGCCCTGACCACTGGTGACTTTCTACATGACTCAATGCAAAACTAAGGTCCCTGGGGACAGGGCCAACACCAGCCTATAATGAAAATTTTTGCTAATTAAAGAAATGTCCCTCTCCCATGAACATTGTCTTAAACACCAGAGTCATCTGGAGACTCCATTCTGTGACCCAATGTGAGTTATTTCCCTGTGTAACCACAGGAGTGGGTCTGGACTCCACAAGACTCTCAAGTTCCAGGTTGTTTTCAGCATGCCTACCATGTACCTCATGGGCTAGGTCAACAATGGACTACTGATTTGTCCCTCTGCCTTCTTGCAGGAAGTGTAATGATAGGAAGTCAATAGCAATTTCCTTGATAGTAGGAGATGCATGGAAGCTGCCTAAGCCCATCCACTAGTGTTTAATCAGGAATGCACACAGTGTCAGTGAAGTCCACAGCTAGAATGGTCAAATGATGAAGAACATTTGTCTGCAAATCCAATGGCCTTATCCCAGTTAATAAAATTAATAATAATTATCTCTAATCATTAAAAAGGATTGCAGTATGTATTCAAATTTTTCAAAATTCTTTTTATATCTCTTTTCTCTGCACCAATTTTTTTTTTCATTTGTCATTAAGGGTATGGTAAAAATTTCTTAGGATACCATCTGGGCATCAAGAAGTCTTTCCCCAAATTTTAAAATGATGTAATTTTTCAGCAATTTAAGGTTATTCCCATGCCAAATTTCAATTTGTGTATATTGGGGTATGTGGTACTTTTCAAAGCATTTTGGTCCATTTTATCTAAGGGGTCAACTTTATTTATACCTGAGATTTTCTCCTTCTATCTCCTTATTATCTATCTAATGTCTGCAAGATCTGTAGCAACCACCCTGTTCAATCTTGATGTTAGTAGTGTGTCCTTTTCATTTCTCTCTCTCTCTCTCTCTCTCTCTCTCTCTCTCTCTCTCCCTCTCTCCCTCTCTCTCTCTTTCTTTTTTTCTGTCATTAGTTTTGCAAGACATTTTCAATTTCATTGATCTTTCAAAGGGACTGTGTGTTTCCATGATGTTCTGTATAGTTCTCTGTATTCTATTTTATTGGATTTTTCCTAATTATTTCCTTTATTCTGCTTGCATAGGGTATATTTTCTTCATGTTGTTGTTACTTCAGTGGTAGAACATTTCAGTTATTGATCTGAGACTCTCCCAATTTCCTCTGACACACCTGGACACCAGCATGAAAACAGCATCTGAGGGCCAGCCCATTAGAAGTGTGGCCCATTAGAAGTATGGTCCCATGTTACAGATCCTTTCTGTAACATGGGACCATAGCACTTCTCCTTTCTCAGATGGAATGAGCATTACAGGATGCACAGGAAGCATTTTTGTTGGAATGGAACATGGAAGATGGCACTGGATGTCTCTGGAGCAGAATTAATTGGTAGCCATCCTGCTGTGACTGTGATCACCAACCAAGAAGTCCACTGAAGGTCTTTGAGTGCTTTCATCTATATGGCCCTAACCTTCATATGTAGCGTCTACAACTTCCCCATTAGGGAAAGTCCTTGAGCCTGGAGAATGCAATCTCCTCTGTAGCTCTTCTAGTATTGGAATTATATCTAGGAATGTAACCTCTGCTTCAGCTGCCCTCTGGTTCCAGGAGACAAAAAATCTACAAGAGTACCAAGAAATCCCTTGGATCTCACACTTGGCCTTTACTTTCTGATGACTCATGCTTAGCTTCTCATTATCTTTCTCCCATGAACTGATGCCAAGAAACAGCCTTTAAATGCCAGAGTCTTATAACAACAATTTCCCAATTTATGTTCAAGTACCAGATGCCAAGAAAACCAGTTCACTTTTGCAAAGTGTGAACAACAGCACCTCCACCAGAGGCCAGTGCCTGCTCAGGTGCCACCGACCACCAGATCTGTGACCAGCCAGCTGAAGAGTCCCAGGTTCAGATTCACATGGTAGAGCCTGTTTTCCAGATCACTCCTGGAACTGGGTTTCCATAGGAAGTGCCCTCTGTGATGGACATAGGGGATCAGGGGGCTTTCTGAATTGTTCTCAGGATCAACATCAGGGTCCTTCCCACCTGAGACAGAAGAAGCAGCAACTCAGTTGCTTCCACAGGGTGGAGCTGTTTTAAGTGGAGGAGAGGGGCAGGTCCTTCCACTCCCTGCTCAGGCAGGCTCTGATGCTGGTGCCTTCTAGAGGGAGGAGGGGGCAGGCAGTGCAGCTCTCCTCCACTGAGGGGGAGCCCCAGAGCACCACTCAGCTGAGAACTGTGGCCTCCAGCAGGGCAGCCACCCTACAGGTCGAGGAGTCCACTCCTTCTTAAGGACTTGGCAGCATTTCTTTATTATTAAAAATGTTTCCATCTTTGTTAGCATCATTTTAAAAGAAAAAAAATGGCTAATGGTAAAAATTCAAAGACTCCACAGGTCTGCTTGCCAGGATCTGGCTTTGTGTGTCCAACAGAAAGACTTCAGGTGACACAGCACTGGAGGGGAGGTCTGCTATTTGGAGACTGTGGCCCCTCCCATGTATGAGAAACATTTTCTTGACCCACAAAAGTAATTTTCAGCCAGCAATTTTGTTAGTTTATCCTACACCTCCTGAGCAGGCTCCCCAAGGTCCCCAGACAAAGGTCCATTGAGCTACACACAGTACCAAGTGGGCAGCCTTGCTCTCCTCTCTTCCCATGGAGCAGCCCTCACCCCATATGAATGCCCCATTGAAAATTGTTCTCGTGGCCCAGAGATACTGGACCATTCCCCTGGTCCAAGGAACATGGTCTCAGGAATCACCATATAGGGTTTGGATTCCTCTAGGCCGTGACCCTCCTGAAACTCCCCAGGCCTCAGTTTCCTTATCAAGAGGTGATGATAATCCCTCTGCACAGGAGACTGAGAATCAAGTAGGTAACCAGCATAGCTGGGTGGGAAATGTGCACCAAGCTCACATTTCCACCTTCCCTCAGGGGGTCACCCTGGGACCTAAGGCTGGGTGAGTGGGAATGAGAAAACTCTGACTGGACTTCTGCCTCTGGCTTGACCAGGACATTAGTACAGGGTGTGTGCACTAAAGCTTCACAACTTTGGGGCCTTGGTGGCTTCACCTGGGGCAAATGCAGGAACCTGAGAATGGACAACTAGGAGTCCCTCTAATAGCCCCTCTTGTCCCTTGATTTTCAGGAGCACTGAAGTCTACTCTTTCTTCATACCTCATAGCCCTATTTATTGGCCCTAAGATCCTATTGGCAGTCAGTGTCTCTGCCATCTACATCCACAGGAAGCAGAAGTCCTGACTGTAAGTACCCAGGAAAAAAGGTGGACAACAGCCTGCAGAAGGGGCAGGGCCAGGGGGAGTGTCAGCCCACCTGTGCACAGCTGCAGAGTCAGTGGGTCTAGAAAACCAGGCACACATCCCTCAGCACCCTCAGAATCTCAGGCAACTCCTGTGGGACCCCAGCTCCCAGGAAGTGTGAGGGGTGTGAAGGAGATGAGGAGGTCAAGAGTTGGCAATGGGTGTCCACTGAGTCCTGAGGCTCCAGAGATGATGAGCTGAGGGAATGCAATGAGGGGCAGCAGATTAAGTGTGTCTTTTGGATAGCACCTCTAAATTAGACCAATAGTCCAATGCTATGCATCCATGGACAGGAAGGTTCTACCAAATGGAGCAATGTTGGGAAGTTCTAGGTGGGCTGCTCTCAGGGCTGCTCCCCTTGTGACTCTTAGTGTGACCAACCCGCAGGGAATCAGGACACAGGAGAGGCTGACTGGTGTGTTCTTGGGCTGCTGGTTCACTCAAGATAGGCATCTAACAAGGGTCAACCAGGACCTCATAGCTCTAAGGAGACTCTTACGAATGGTGAGCAGATAACTGAATGTGGACATGTTTCCCGCAGATCCTTCATCACTCTCTGCTACCTGTGACCCTCCGTCTCTGCCACCTTCTTCCTGCTCCATGGTGCTCAGCCTAAGAGAAAGGAGCTACTGAGAAGCCTCTATAGATGCTGCTCCAAATGCCTTCTCCCAGAACAGTCACCAGCCCACAGGCTCCTGATGCTCCTCTGTCAGCCCTCGATGTCCCATGGCTGAGTCTGCAGACCTGCCTCTGTGTAGCATCTCATGACACCCCCTCAGAATGTGACAAGCAAGCCCCACCTGAACATGTCACAATGGCTATCCTCCATTGCCTTGGGCTTGGCCATCAAGTACTCCAAGTCCTTGCTCTCAAGAGTCATTCTGTCTTCTTTTTCTTATCTACCCCTCCTCCACAGCCTTGTTGAGTTTCTCAAAGGAAACTCAAATGGTTTAATACAAATAGTTATTCTCCTTTCTCTTTACCTAAGTGTCCTATGCCTCAAACACAGAAAGAAAAAAAAACAAGTGCCCCATAACCTGAGATATTTTCTCTCCTTAGCAGTTATGAACATCATGTTGTCCTGGATACAGGCAGTCATCACTCTCCATGGAAGGGCAGGATTGTAAAAATGACCATGCAAACTGAAACTCTGGGAATCTCCATAGCAGTCATTAAAAATAACTATCATTCTTCAACCTTTACAGTGTTTCTTCAAAATATTGAAAACACTCAAATTATCAGTTAAATGTCAGTTTAAACATATAGGGAAATGTAAATAATAATAAAATGTGAGCTTAGTGAGTAGCAATTTGAAACACTAGACACTGAGCATTAGTAATTTATTTATTTGTAAAACCTTATCTCCAGGAGTTTCAACCATGTCCACCTGGTTAACTGAAGATGTGAAGCAAGCATCTTTTCTACCTTGGTCAATTATTAGCCGCATTTAATACCATCACCCTTTTGGGCACCACTGTTTCCCTCCCTCTAGTGTAGGTAGTGTAGTGTAGGTAAAAGTCCACTGATGAAGGATCAGTGTCCACACACCATGGCCAGCAACTTCTGTTTTGACCCCTTGTGTCCAGTTTAATCTCACTTCCAGAATTATTACCTCTCCTGTCCTCACTGCACTTTCATCTCAGTTGCTTACTCTTTAAATATAAAATGTACTGGGATCAAAAAATGAGAGTAGACACCAAGAAATTTCAGAAGCAATGAGAACACAGGTACAACATATCTAAGTCTCTAGGACACTATGAATGCAGTTCTAGCAGGAAAATCTAAATCACTGAGTGCCTACTTTAATGAAATAAAGAAATTTCAAATAAATAAGTTTATACTCCAACTCAAGGTCTTAGGAAAAGAACAAAATAATTCCCAAAAGAGCAGATGATAGGAAATCATTATGATTAGAGAAGAAATTAATGAAATTAAGAAAGAAAAAGAATACAAAGGTTCAAAGCAAGGAGGAATTGGTTCATTTAAAAGATACATAAGATTGAAAATCTCTCAGCCAAATGACCAAAAGTAAGAGAAGGAAGACACAAATCAATCAAAGTAGAGACAAAAAAGAAAATATCACTGGAAAAACTTCTGAAATCCAGGAACATTGGACAGATACTATGCTGAAAATTTAGACTCAAAAATATTGGAAAATCTAGAAGACATTGACAAATTCCCAGATACATGTGACCTGCCCAAACTGAACCTGAAAGGTATGGAAAACCTAAACAGAATGGTATCAAGGAATGAAATTCAAAGAGCAATTAAAAGCCTTCCAACAAAGAAAAGCTCAAGACTACATGGCGCAATAGAGGAGGTACTGTTTCTGGCTGCTCTGTGGAATTAAACCAAGAAAAGAGTCAGACAGGTCTCCACAAGGTCTCACCTAGATGGAATACAACATCTCAGAAAGTACAACAGGACTCCTAGACAGGGGATTTTCACAGAAACCATCAGAGCTGCTACCGACCACCTGCACAGAAATCAGAGCCTCTGTTCCAGTAAGACTCCAGACTCCGGACCCAAAGCCCACAGTTCTAGTGCACACGACTCTCAAGCAGCAGAGCAGAACCACCTTATCAGCTGCGCTCCACTCCCATGCAGGCCACACGGCTGCAATCACACAGCACAAGGCCATCCCAGCTCCCCCCATCTCACCAGACATACTGGCGCAGGAAGCAGACGGACTCCTTCTTGGAAAACCTCTCTCGCCATTTTTTTTTTTTTTTTTGGTGGGTGTAGCTATCAGCGTGGACCTCCATTTGAACA